AAGTTCTGAGCAGTCATGCGCCGAGACTGTCATCTTCTTGGGACCTTCTATCAAGTACTACTTTACATTTGTTCGAATCTCAATCACCTTTCGATCACACTTCTTCTCAAAGCAACCTTACACTGAATATTGTAAATAATCGTAAGCTACAAACTGAACCCGAAGTGTTATGTGTCTACATTTTGAGGGAATGAAGTCTTGATCACACTGAATAATTGAATGGTACAAAATAATATCCACCATGGAACTTTAACTTCTCTTAAAGCTTGAATATATGTAAAATGGGTTGTTCCATTCCGAATAACTCTTCCTTTAATGTAACGTAACATTTTAAAGCAATCCAGAAATTTGATCATGACTGATCAGTTTTGTCAATCGGATTATTGATCGGTTCATTTTCAGAGGTGAGCCGTTGAAAGGAGCGACGACGCCATCACCAAGAGATAAGACGAGACATGAGCTTGATAGTGAAAAGAAGAAGATGATAATGGAATGGATGGAACGAACTGGAAATGCTCCTACGGCAGTTGCACCATCTGAGCAGCCCATCGTGACTCGATCAATGAAGGTGATAAACTAGGTGCATGGAAATGGAGGAGTAGGATGAGATGAGGGTGTAGAGGGCTAAGTCGACAATTGCATTGAGTCTGGATAAAATTGAGCTATTTTTGAGAATATTCATAAAATGAATTCACGCTGTGCATTGATTACAGTCACCATGCAATATTCATCATATATAATGGAGTGGTACGCATTCAAAATTGTTTCGCGTTTAACTCGACATATTCAATGGAAATTTGTCGGGATTAACTTGATTTGAGCTCTTTTTGTCGTTGTTTATTTTTATATATCCGATCATATATTGCGTCCCAATTTATTACACGTGTTTATATTCAGCCTTTATGTATTGTGGAATGCAATGACAATGCTTAGATTTACCTTCAAACATAATGATAGGAATAATGAGAATACTGATTTGTACTTACAACAAGGATAGTATAATANATCATTTCACAACTTGTCACCATCCGTTGCACGACATTCTCGAGGATGACGAGGAGGCATTGATGAGTTACGCGCAAACACCATCCAAGGAATTGATCTCGATGAATGAGCAGTTTGCGGATAACGCGTGGAATTGTGATGGTGCTGCTGGTGATGATCGGCTTTCAGCCGGAATGGGTGCTGGCGAGGGAGGGGAGTCGATGTTGGATGGTGACGGTATTGTTGGTCATATCGAGCATCCTTTGAGCATCCTCAGTTTGGATAAAACATCAGCGTCAACATCTGCAAAAAGTTCATCAGAAAACGTATAGATTTGAGAATTTTTTTGAACTACCATTGATTGATAAACATAAATTCAAATACATAATGAACGTCTTGAGTGAAATTTGAAACAATTTGAGATGCTTGAACAAGTCGGATATTTTCTGGATTGTTTGAAGAAGTGAATCATTTCAGGAAGTTGACGATGATGACTTAGAAAGGGCGATGGCTGCAAGTGTGAGCTCGATTCGCTCGCATGAAATTCTCTCTCGACTCAATGATGATT